GACTGACTAGCGACTGACTAGCGACTGACTAGTGACTGACTAGCGACTGACTAGCATCTCATACATATGAAAACTCTTTTATGTTTCCACGTGAACACGAGGCAGGTCAGTCACTAGTCAGTGCAGGACAGTAAGGTCGCCAGACAGGGCAGAAAAACGGGTTCTACTTTCTACGTTTATAAGTTAATAAGCTTTATATTTCATAAACCGGCTCTTTTGGGACTGATTAACAAAATACCAAAATTTGGGGAAATTTAAGGAACGCATATTTGAGATATAACGCCACGAACGTTAGGAGAGATGATATTTTGATCAGCACAAAAACTAACATTTTTGCTAATACCTCGAAGTAGAATTGCTGGAGGTTAGCAGAATTTTGTGAAAAGTTTCAAGCACAAGAGACACGAATGAAACACTAAACGTTTTTTTAGCATGAATGAGAGATAAAGAAAAAAAAATTGCGAAAGTAGCAGCCTTGTCGTTTTTCTGCTCTGTCAGATCGCCATATTTCGATTTGGTGTATAGAATTTTTAATTGATTTGTTTGCTGTTGTGGTTGTTTTTCAAAAGATGATCGGCGTGATGTTATTAATTTTAGTCCTCTGCGTCGGAATCATAGGCGTTCTTGACACATCGAATAAGGTGCATTGTGGTGTTACTTAGGTACAAACAACACCATATAAGACAAGCTGAGCGAGAAATGTTTGTACCCAAGCTAGAACACAATGCACCACGTTTGGTATCTTAGAAAAGCATAAGCTAGCAACAAAAATATTAAACAAAAAGTTACCGGAAGATGTTTGTACCCACGCTAGACCACAATGCACCGTGTTTGGTATCTTAGAAAAGTATAAGCTAGACCAAGAGATGTTTGTACCCACGCTAGACCACAATGCACCATGTTCTGTAACATAGTTTATATTCCTGATTACTATGTACATTCTAGGTCCTAGAGCACCAGATTCCTGGCAAGGTGGTTTAAACATCACATACCGAGTCGGACCCGGGTTTAAAGACAAGGAAACGAAAATCAAAATGGTAGTAGGAAGTGTTATGGTGAAGAAACCCATCTACAACGTGATTGGTACAATCACAGGAACCCAAGACTCTGACCGTTATGTTTTACTTGGTAACCATAGAGACGCGTGGGTGTACGGTGCCAGCGATCCGTCCAGCGGCACAGCAATCATGATGGAGYTATCACGTGGTGTAGGAGAGCTACTGAAGTCGGGTTGGCGGCCACGAAGAACGATCAAATTCTGCAGCTGGGATGCTGARGAGCAGTTTATAGCTGGATCAACTGAATGGGTGGAAGATAACGCTGCGATTCTAAGATCCAGGGCTGTGGCATATCTAAACCTGGATATAGGAGTTGGGGGTAATTTCACCTTCAACGTAGATGGCAGCCCGCTCATTGAGGATGTTCTCGTGTCTACAGCACGAGAGGTCCTGGACCCCACATCCGAATCTGAAGGCGCGAGTATGTATGACGTCATGATGGAGAGAGACGTCACAAAGAATGTCAATCATAAACCGGTCGTTCAGAATCTTGCTTTTGGTAGCGATTACGTTGCTTTTTATCACTTCCTAGGCGTCACATCTGGAGACTTTACTTATATCTTCGGAGGAACCCATGGAATTCGAAGGTCATACCCAGTATATCACTCAATACATGACACATATTACTGGCTGAAGACGTTTGTAGACCCGAATTTTAAAATTCATTTAGCTGTAGGGCAATACGCTAGCAGACTGCTTATGAAATTCGTGGATTCTGTCTTCCTACCTATGAATCCTACGAACTACGTTCCTATCCTGAAAAAACAAATTCTACATCTGAAAAATAATCCCGCGTTCAAGAGGCATGACATAGATTTGCGCGCACTGAGCAATGCGGTGAAATACTTCCAAAATAATTCAATTTTATTCGAAAAAGCGAGATCGAAAGTTAGAATACAGGAAAATAGAAGCATCATTCGCACTCTTAATAACCAGATTTCTAATCTTGAACGAGCATTTATCAACACTGTCGAAAAATATGATCATTTTTTATTCGATAATGTGATCTTCGGTCCCATGTGGGATAACATATATTCAGGTCATTACTTCCCGCGGGTCCATGAAGCTATACAACGAGCTAGTGTTAAAGGGGATTGGGAAAATGTTAAGAAAGAAATATCAGTTGTGCTGTTTGCCATTAGATCGGCAGCTAAAGTTTTAGAACCTTTATAACCATGAAATGGGGAAAATATATTTCTGGATAATGTAAAAAAGAGTGTCTTTTTAATTCAATTTTGTTTGTTTGTTTTTTGTTTTTTGTTTTTTTTTAATGTTTGTTTTTGTTTTTGTTTGTTTTTGCTTTTTTGTTGTTTTTTTGTTTGTTTTTGGTTTTGGTTTTTCGTTTGTTTGTTTGTTTTTGTTTTTGTTTCATTTATTTTCATTATTTATTATTTTTCGCATTTAGGGTTGCTTTTTTATGTGGCATGAAAAAATAGATTTTTGAATTATCCTTCTTTCCTTTAGCTAATAAATCTAGGACCATGCATACTTCCAGACATCGAGTGCTGAACCGTCGTATGGCAGCGCGAAGCATTTACGGCTACGCCGGAGATTTCGACCCCGACACCGCTATCCGTGGATTTACAGACTGATCAGGAAGCTCGGCCGAAGCCTAAGGGAGAGGTTAATCGACCCCTAGACCRTAGATGATTAACCCCTTGCTATGACCAGCAGACTCAATCTATCGTCCTTGTCACRGATCTCTTACATCGCATAGTCACTCCTTCCCGTGTGGGATGCGAGCTGACTAATCAGTCTTCACTACTCTGTCGTCCAAAAACAAAATTTTCAGTTCCATTTTCGATATTAACAGCCGATTTTGCAGTTGTTATTTCATATTTTGAAAACCGAAGTCTTATTGATGTTCCGTGTACACGTCACGCGGTACTGAAAAATGAGCTCACTGGTGACCTTGACARCCAAACAGATGATAGTCATACAATAGCCTTGTCATCAGTCTTACACTAATAAATAAGAATGATTGATTCTTATTTAAGATTTGCATGATATAAGTCATCTAGCTTTATTGATATTTTTACTTATTTATTCCTCTGGGTTTTGTTGCGCATGTCTTTTTTCATTTTGTTCAAGCAATTTCAATTTCAAAGTCATTATATTACTGCGTATACCACTTCCCCCGAAGCCATTTTAGTGTTACGGAATATCTAGTCTCCTACGCAGCCGCTATTAGTGCTATTAACTATTAATTAGCTWTTAATTATTAGCTATTAGCTACTTAGGGGAGTGAGCGTTGCGTGGCGAATAAATGCTGCGTAGGAGACTACGGAATATCGTGATAGGAAGCAATTTAAGTGTTATCACATTGCGGGGTGTACGGCACGAGAAGCCATTTTTTCTGTGTTGCGGCATATCGTGATGGGATCGAAGCCATTTCAATGTTATCACCGATTACTGGGTGTACGCTACCGGGAAGCCATTCCGGTGTTGCGGCATTTGTGATGGGAAACCATTTCAATGTTATTACATTACTGGGTGTACGGCACATCGTGATGGGAAGCCATTTCAGTGTTTTTATATTATTGGGTATACGGCACGGGAAGCCATTTCGGAGTTGCAGCATATCGTAATGGGAAGCCATTTCGGTGTTGCGGCGTATCGTGTCGGGAAGCCATTTCWATGTGTTGAGCTATGCCTTACCAGGAATCCATTGAAATGTTATGGCAAATCCTTGTTATCTCGGAAGCCATTTCAATGTCATGTCATACCTATCTTACAAGGAAGCCATTAAAATGAGCAGCATGCTTCAGGGAAGCCATTTTACTGTCACAAAATCCCCTTCAACATTCGATATACCCTACCATATAGTGCGTGCTACATACTAATACCATGTTTTTTTCTCCGCTCATACAAAGACTGTCATGCGAGCCTAATTCGGAATACGTGATGCWGTGGCTGCTAACGCAAGATCTATAATTAACTTTTCAAACGCAACTAAACACCAGGAAAATAAAACCGAATTTTACTACATTGACATATGGGGATTTATTTCTCTTTCCCAGTAAATGAAAAGGCAAACATATCATTCAAACTGACAGTTCCRACTAGATCAACTCGGGTTTCGTTTCATTAAGGCGTCGCCAAGGTTTAAGTTCCCGGCAACTAACTATCGATCAAAGCAAGCCCAAAAATCGTAGATCACCTTCTTGCTCGATTCTTCAATTACCTTAAGCGAATTTTGATCAAGTCCTTCGCAAATTTGATCAAAATATTCAGTATTAAAGTCTAAATTAAAGGCCGACAACTCGCCTCAGAATTTCATTAGAATTTTTAAATATATAAAACTATAAATTAATTTTTTCTTAACCTTTGAAAGTTCGGGTTACCTGTTTAATATAAATGTTTGATTTTTTTCGTTAATTTTTAATATTGAAGCGCGCGTTGTTTAAGGTGTTTACCTTATTTCTTTTAAAGTGAGGGRGTTACATTTGAAATGAAAGCCACAGTGTACATAGATCCTGGGAATTATGATAGGTGTTATCGAAAGGAAAAATATGTCCTTAGAGGCGAGCCAATGAATGGAAAGCCCACTCAATGAATATTCATTTTTACAACCAAATTAAGTTCCTCATTATTCTGTTGATCAACATCTATTTTTTTCGTTGATGGCATCTCGACTTCAATCTTCTTGCTGTAGACGACTTTGGGTCGATATGTAATGCCCTGAAGAATAGAAATGCTTATCTTTCTTTACTAAACAAGAATATAGATTCTGCTGAGCTTCAAAGGGAGCAGTTTCGAGCTGGTTGACGTGTTAACTCCAGAAAACGATAAGTGAAATTCAATGGCTATGCAAGACCTGTTAGTGTTTTGCATATTACTTGATCATTTGCAAGTAAGTACCGAAAAGATTTTTGTCGTATCGTTATATTTTCTTTGAGAAACCTTTCATAGAAATAGCTACGTGCCTGTCTATACTATTACCATCGTTAATGAATTTCTCAAAAACAATATGCAAGCCATCTTCTTAGTTCAACATTTCGTTCAACATTCGCATCATTGGCAGTAGTGGAAAGATCCATAAAAAATCGATACAATAAAGGAAAAACTAGCGAACACGATAGCTTTAGAAATACGTGTTTTTGAAGCTCCCAGCTTTTTAAAAATGTAATTTTCGGAAGGATAAAAATTTAAGGTTTCGTGGTTACAGCTTGCAGTTAGTAACCCATCTGGGTGTAACATCTGACTTGCTCTTTTTCGACTCGCCAAATCCTGCCAAATCTGTATCGATAAACGCAAACAGACCTATCTTTTTAACCTTTAAAAAATCCTTAGACTGATTCAATATTCGCTATATCTTATTTTAGCCGAAACGCTTTTAAGCCACAAATAAAGGTATAGATTTTGCAGCCATAAAATAGCATTCTATTTGTTTTTAAATACCAAAATGATTAATCAAATTTCAAACCGTGGTATAAGTTTAATTTTGCAGAGCCATTTTGAAGAATCTCTGCCCTCAGCGTTGGTTTTTTACGTTTTTTAGTGGATATTGCTTCGATTCGGGAAACCCAATTCGATTATATATATTTGTATTATTTTTTATAAGTTAGTTAGAGGAAATTTTGAGAACGTTTTTTTCCYATAGCAAAATGGATTTTTATCTGACCATGAATCAAAATTTTAACAATTTGTAGTCAAAATTAATATATATTTTTTGCGAATCAAAACTGTCTGTATAGTTGTTTCAGTATTCTCGTTTTCTTCGGTCGTAGGATTGATCATATTCCTAGAGGTTTTTGAATTTGCAATTCAGATTATATTTTTAAATCATTTTTGACATTTTCACCCTTATTCATTTGGGTCGTTGCCTAGTAACCATCTTGACGTCTTTCCTCTAGCACCGTCTAGCTAACCGGTTTTTTTTAAAAGCTTTTCTGGAAAATAAAAATGCTTTATCGTGGATTCTTAGAAGAATTAGTTGCAGAAGATGACATAAATGTTTTACCCTTCACACTTGCGCATTTTAGATATTTTCAAAGTTGAAGSGAGCTCGATGTTTCAATCTTTTGAGTAAAACAAACTACTTGATTGATTTGTTTGTTTGCTGTTCGTGCAGAAAAACATCCTGTTTTCCCTCACAGAACAAACGTTCTCCATCATTCTATTTACCTATGCATCATCTAGCCATAGAAAAGGTGTAAATATTGCAACCTATTATTTCAGTTTCTAAACAAACTGAATTGAAACTGTAAATATTCCTAGATTTCAAACGCAGTAAAAGTAAATCCACGCATTGGGAAAATAGAGGAGATAGCAGTTAGCTTCACTTTGACACCTAACAGTATTTCAAGGCGCAAATATCAAGTAAAAGCTTTAAAGATCTCAATCTTTTGATTTTACTGACAAAGCCAATTCAAATGATTATTTTTCGGAATCAAAATTAATTCCAGAGAAATAGTCTGGACACTACCTATC